TTTCTTCTCTGCTTCATAGTTTCTTTAACCTTGTCGTTATATGATCAAATCTCTCCTTACTGATAGGTTGGAGAGGCGTGAAAAGGACGAGGGTTCCTCCGCTTGCATTCCGTCAACCGGTGCCTTCCGCCTAGTCCGCACCAAGAGCTACTGCAGGCGAGGGCATAGGGAGTCTGTCCACTCGTGAGACCGCGCCCATGGCCTAAGACGTACTCTTGGAGGTTACTTCTCAATCGGAGACTCCGGTCCCCGCAGTCCATTCAACGGGCAAATTTTCTCGCATTGATAGTGGAGAGGCCTCATCGAAGAGACGAATGGTAGTGTTGGAAGGGGCTTTTCTAGCCGAAACACCTTCGAGGGGCAAACCTTGCCTCGACGGTACCCGAAACTGGCGGTGGTTCCAACCTGGACGTGGAGACGACACCCGTTGCAAGCGTTCAAGGGGCTATTATGGCGGAGGGAGGGAGTTCTGAGGCTGCCGTTACTGCTTCGGGTGGCCCATCGACATCTTGGCAGAATCGCGCCCCTTCTTCGGCTAATGAGAGGGGGAAGGGCATCATGGTTGAGGATTATGAATCTGACTCCGACATTGACCCTAAGGATATGAGGATGTTCGAGGAAGGCTTTACCAGGACTGAGGTAAGAGCGAAGGCCTTTCCCGCATACTTGAAATTCTGTCAAATTTCAACCCGTTGTAGGACACGGTGGATTTGGTGCCGCAGTTCGATCTTCTATGCTCCGTCGCTGAAAGCGGATCTCTTCAGGAGGTCAGCGACTCTAGGTTGTCACGTAGTATGGCCGCGATGGGCCTAAGGGTGAGTTCCCTTTTGTTTTCTTTGTTTTGTGACCTTTGTCTTTACTGACTCTTTCTTCCCTTTTTTTTAGACTTACATACTGGAGATCGAGAGCGCTAGTAGGGTTGAGACGCGAGCCGATATTTTTCTGAAGATGATCGAGAAGTATCGGCGGTATCGCAACAGGTGCCGTGAGATGTGTGGGCAGCTTAGAGCGAGCACTAGTACCCATTTTGCCAGAGAGGAGTTGGACAAAAGAGATGATGAACTAATGCGGTCTATCCGCAAATGCAGTGAGCTTAGGGAGCTACTCCATGCCAAAGACGAGGAGCTTGTGGTGGGCAAAGGGGTTGTCGCGGAGTACGAGGACCTTCAGGAGAAAGTGATGTCTTTACAAACTGAACTTGAGCAAACTGTTGCTAGAGTCGATGCTCTCAGCGCAGAATGGGCAGAGAAGGTGGCCGAGCTGGAAAAGAAAGTGGCCGAGTTGGAGAGAGCCAAAGGTGATCGAGTGTCAGCTTTAGGGAGGGTGGTGGCACTAGAAAACACTATCCGCATCCTCAAGTCATAGTAGGAATCTGAGAGGGCGACGACCACGTTGAGGGAGGCACGGTTCAAGGAGAGAATTGGTGAACTTGATCGGGATGCTTTGAGCTTGGGAGACTGAGTTGCGGCTCTTGAAGCTGAGAAGGCATAGTTATTAGCTCAAGCTCCCCTTCAAGAGTCTACATCGACTACTATTCCCCGCCGCATGTATGAGCTATGGGTCCATGTTGAGGCCTAACGTGATATATACAAAGGTTTGTGGGAGGAAGGAAGTGTTCCTGAGGCCGCCTTTGAAGATGCTCGGGCAAAGGCATGCGAGGCTTGTATTGCGTGCAGTTACGACCCTGCGACACCGGAGGCTGGTGAGGGCATTGATATTGAGGATGGGCTTCCTTCCGATGATGATGATGCTGGGGAGAATGGCGGTGGGGATGACGCCAAGTGAAACTTTGTTGCAGCTTTTGTACTTTTTTTTGTTGTCGTTTATTTTCGTCTTTTTCTTAAGGGAATGTTTTGGCCTTTTGTAAGGCGCAGACGCGTACATTTGAATAAAATAGGTGCTTCACCTTTGTTTGTGTATCTTTTGACTTTCTTTCTCCTCTTTCTTTTTTATTTTTTCTTTCTTGGGGAGAAGATCTTCAAATTTCTCCGTGACGAGTCCCTGACCTTTTAATTGGGAATTCAAACGAGGGCGGATCTAGTTTGCTTGATCCGAGCAAAGTCGGATTTCGTTGTGTGAGTTCAAATGAAGTCACTTCGGGTCTGAAAGTTCGGACGAGGTTGACTTCTGATTTGCTAACTTAAGCGGAATCAACCTTGATTTGTATATTCGAACGAGGTCGAATTTAGACTTGCCAACTTGGGCGAAGTCAATTTTGACTTATATATTCGTGCGAGGTTGGACTTAGAGTTGCCAACTTGTGCGAAGTCAATCTTGACTTATATATTCGAACGGGGTCGAATTTAGAGTTGCCAACTTGGGCGAAGTCAATCTTGACTTATGTATTCGAACGGGGTTGAATTTAGAGTTGCCAACTTGGGCAAAGTAAATCTTGACTTATGTATTCGAACGGGGTCGAATTTAGAGTTTCCAACTTGGGCGAAGTCAGTTTTTACTCATATATTCGAGCGAGGTCGAATTTTCCTTTCGTTTGGTGATGGCCGATGGCTGTATGGGTGTTATTCGAGCGAGGTCGAACTTTCCTTTCATTTGGCGATGGCCATAATGGAGTTAATTTGATCGAGGTCAAAATTGTAACCCGTTGTAAATTCGAGCGAGGTCGAACTTTTCTTTCGTTTGGCGATGGACAATGACCGTAAAGGTGTTAATTCGAACTAGGTCGGAATTAACCCGTTGTATTACTTTTATTGGAGAACATTACTCGTCGCTGTATTGTTTATGCATGCATCGGGGTGAGTCCCGATTTGCTTAATTTTGCTTTTATTGGAGAGTACCATGCGTCGGGGTGAGTCCCGGTTCGTTTAACTTTGCTTTTATTAAAGAATATTGTGCGTCGGGGTAAGTCTCGATTTGTTTAACTTTGCTTTAATTAGACAATATTGTTTGTCGGGGTGAGTCCCAGTTTGTTTAACTTTGCTTGTATTGGAGAATACTGTGCGTTTCATGGGCCCATCACTCAGTCCCTGGTTCCGGAGATTCTCTTAATAATGTCGACCTATTCTGAGCCGTTTCTGTTATTTGTAGTACGGTACGACTTAGAGGGCTTTGCTTGGTCATTGCTTGCGAGATAGTATGGTACGGAACATTTTCCTGGTGTGTTTGGTGGCATTTGTTCCTTGTTCGCGTACCTGTGAGAATGCTCGTGTTCCTGTTCTGAACAAAAAAGAAAGCGTGATAAGTTAAACCCAAACGAAATTGCCGGTTACCATAGCCTGGTAAGTCGGTGAAAGGGGGGAACGGCGCTGCAGGGTCGCTTGCTTTGCCCCGTGCTCGAATGACGGTTTCAGATTTGGCAGCCATGTTTGGCTTCGTCATTAGTCGTGTCTAGACTTTTCGCGGGTTGGATTACCTTTCTCATTAGGATATCGAGACCGAGTCCCAATCCGATCCCGTCCGATATGCGCAAACAATAAGGGAAACATGTCATACTTTGTTTATAAATCACATAGTGCATGTGCGTACGAAAATAAGGCAGGATACGCCCGTTATTTCAAAGAATCACACAGTAGGCTATCGTCCCTTCCTAAGAGGTGGAAGTATAGGCAGGTATATAAGGTGAATACGTCAAATAGGATTGCGGTCATGCTAAGTGCATAGTGACCGTGATCCTACTTTAAACATGCATATGACGTGCAAACCCATTGCTACAGATGAGGCGTGAGTTTTGCATAGACATCAGACATAATTTCGATTTTTTGTAGAGATCTGACCTAGATTGATTCGGTTATCTCAAAAGCTTATCTACCACTTTTCGAGTTGATGTCTATACGGAAATGGTGAGGCTATGACAACCTGGAAGTGATACTTGGCTGGTTTTAGATCTAAAGGAAACTAAAAATTTGGCTAAGAAATCCCCACAGACGGAGCCAAATTGTTCGACCAAAAAGTATTAAGCTTTTTGCTAAACTAATTAATGAAGAAAATAAAGGATAAATCTCAGCCAATGATAATTAACTCTAGATCTAAGCACATCGATTAAGAGAATAAGATATAATCAAGCTTATAAACTTTCTAGGATCATATAAGATATCAAATATAGATGATAGACTTACATTCTTGACATATTACCCTGTGATGTGGTGATAGAGATGGAAAAGATGGAACACCATCGACAGTAACGAGATCTATCTTCGTTGATTCAATAATCACGATTACAGAGATTTGTATTCGCTATCTAAACCTTTTCTTGGTTTTCTTTACCTCTTCTTTCTCTAGGAGAGGAAGCCCCCCTTTTCTTGTCTATTTACCTTCTATATATTATATCAGTATTCCCTTTTGTCCAACGGTCCTTAACCAGAATACTTTCGTCCCTTGATTGTACCTCACGTCGCCTACCTCAAGTATCACGGCATTTACTTTACCATACAAGCTTTTTGACGGCTCGATCTCGGCAGTGACCGAGATACTCGTTGTTATTATACCTTGTGGGTACAACCACGACTTAGTCGACCACTTATTATTCCTTGTAGCGCTAATCTACGCGAGGTCAGATTTTGACCCATACAATCTTGTTTAATATGTTATCATGATCCGTGATTTTGTGGATTACAAGATTCCCCCCTCCCCCTCTTTTTTTCCCTCTCTGCCTCATTTTCTCTCACCTACTTTTTCAACAAATTAATCGATTTAATTGGTTTAAAGAAGATAAGAAGATGTGGCAATATCCTCTTCCCAGTTCCCACCTACCAAAATCCCTACCCCACACCCCACAAACCAAGAAATGGATTTGATGGCAAAACCATGACATAGTCTCCATTGCAATGGTTGTCGACAACCAAAAAAATGATTCGTCTATCTATTTTGTCAACAACCGGGAGTCAACAAGGCAAACCTACTCAAACTAATTCATCAAACTAATAGAAAAATCGAGAAATAAAAAACGGAAGACACCAATAGTCTCTAATAAAAGATATTGTTGAAAGTGAATTCTTATTAATATATTACATATTTCTTGTTGAACGAAGCTTACAACAATAAAAACACTAGTACTAAGAACAGAATACAGATATCATAAATAATTATCAAGAGTCACAAATTTTCTTAGAGACCCTTTGAGAATAATTACCCAAAAAAATAAAAATAAAAATACAAATAAACTTAGTGTACCCATAGTGCGACCCCAAGATTTTCCTTTCCTTTTTCTTTCTCATTCCTCTAGCAGAGTGGAAGAGGAGCACCATTCCATTCCTTCAAGCAATCAAGCAAAGGATCTATCAATTTACCTTCATTTATTGCTGTGAAAACCTTGTCAAATACTTCTCCTGGTGACTGCACATTTTCACCTGTCAAGAGATTGGTCCCTAGTTCTTTTCTCACAAATTTATACAATGGATAGGACCTACATTCTTGTATCCTATTAGGAATGGTTGGCTTGCAATTTTCCAAGTCACATCTAGCACTCTCTACTTCCTTGGGCAAGATAGCTTTTAATTCTTCCTCAAATGCACTAATTTTTTCGAAAATTGAAGTGCTAGAATTCTTCTCACCTTCACCATTTAAAAGAGCATGATCCACCAACACTTGTCTTAGCTTTTGAATTAATGGGTAGTTGCAATTGCATGGGTCATCAGCATATGCAAACACATATTCTCTGTCAACCACTTTGAGCAAGTCCTTTTCGCAAAACCTTGAAGGGTGATGCTCTCCATTTTGGCCTATTGTCAATACTTTCTTGGCCACTAAGCTCACAGCATTTTTTACCGAGGCCTTGAGATTTTCTTCCAAGTGCCTTAAGTCAATAGCCTGGCAAAGTGCTACTAAATAAGTGGATGACATAAGTTTTAAAATATCCACTGCCTCTGCTGTATTTCTTGAAGAAATTAAGCCCAAAGAGTTCACATCTTGATTGTGTTGCTCTGCACTCTGGACATGATTAGTCACTGGATTGGCCAAGAATTGGAGCTCAGAGCAGTAGGAGGCCATTGCAATTTCAGCACCCTTGAAACCATAATCCAAGCTAGGATTTCGTCCCCCGGTTAAATTAGAAGGCAATCCATTGTTGTAATAGTCATTGACAAGTTCAGAGAATTGTGCAAACATGAGTTTTCCAATGGAGGCAAGTGCAAGCCTAGTGTTGTCCATCGACACGCCAATTGGAGTGCCTTGGAAGTTACCTCCATGCAATGCCTTGTTCCTCGAGACATCGATCAATGGGTTGTCATTAACCGAGTTAATTTCCCTCTCGATCATCTTGGTCGCGGCCCTAATGACCTCAATTTGAGGGCCTAACCATTGAGGGGATGTTCGAAGGGCGTAACGATCTTGTTTAGGCTTTTGTAAAGGATCCACTTCATGGATTTTCTTGGCTTCCTTAACGTAGGAACTTCCATCTAAAATGTGTTCCATTATAGCTGCAGCCTCAATTTGGCCAGGGTGGTGCTTCAACTTGTGAGTCAAGTGGTCTGTGAATTCAGGCTTTCCTTGCATAACTTCAGCAAAAAGTGCTGACAAAACTTCAGAAAGGACAGCAAGAATGTTAGCCTCAAATAGAACCATAGAAGCCATGCCAGAACCAACAGCAGTGCCATTCACCAATGCCAATCCTTCCTTGGGCTGCAACTCGAAAAACCCGGTCTCAATACCGGCCCGTTGGAAGGACTGGACAGCATCCAACAATTCTCCATCCGGCCCAGTTGCCTTGGAATTGGGTCGACCCGTCAAAAGCCCAGCAATGTAGGACAATGGCACCAAATCACCAGAAGCTGTGATTGTGCCACGGAGAGGCAAGCATGGGGTGATGTTACTGTTGAGCAATTTGGTTATAGCTTCCAAAATCTCAAACCTTATGCCAGAGTAACCTTGAAGAAGAGTGTTGATCCTCACTAGCATTGCCGCTCTTGTGGCCGAGTGTGGCAATGTGTGGCATGACTCCGTCCCATTGCCAAAGATTCCAGCATTCAAAAATCTGGTTAAAATAAAATTGCATGTAACAAATGAGTTAATTAATTCATACAAAATCACCCCTAACACTAACGATATATGGACATAGACTAAACTTGAAAGTGCCACCTTCAGAAGTACTGTTCAAACCGTCCATCCATTAAATTCTTTCTACAATTAGACAAAAGTAGACCTAAATCTGCAGCGAGTATTTATTAGGCAAAAGCAAAATTAAAGTAACCAGTGAACTAGTGAACTAGTATTATAGCCCGTTTGGCCAAGCTGCAAAAATCAGCTTATTTTGAGAAGTGTTTTTTTTTCAAAAGTGTTTTTCTCAAAAGTACTTCTGGTGAGAAGCAGTTTGTGTTTGGCTAATTAGTTTGAAAAGTACTTCTAAGCAGCAATTAGTGTTTGATCAAGCTTTAAAAAACTGCTTCTAAGTGTATTTTTCTCAAAAGTGCTTCTCAAACTTTTGGAGAGAAACTACTTTTTTTCTGCTTCTCCAAAACTGCTTCTGCTTCTCCTCAAAAGCACTTTTTTTCCTTCCAGAAGCTTGGCCAAACACCTCAAATTGAGGCCAAAAGTGCTTTTGGCAAAAAAAAAAAAAAAAAACACTTTTGGCCAAAAATTAAGCTTGCCAAACAGGCCATTACTTATGTAGGTATTTTTTCATGCTCTCACGTGATTGTGTTTGGGGCTACTCATGTTGGATGATCACGTGGTTTTATTAATGACAGAAATGTCATTTTTGGAGCCCTTAAACTCGGTAACTTTTGTTTAATTCTTCCTTAAATTTCATGTGGTCTTTAATACTTCTCTGAGCTTGAATCCAAGTGGGGTAGTTTTTAAATTTTGATTGTCACATAATCAAATATAATGATTTATTTGTTCCAATTGCATTTTTTGTTGTTTCTTCTTAATATACATTGCATATTTTATCCCAATTATATTTATTTTAGATACAATGAATATATATTCATCTATGTATTTTTTTTTCTTTCGGTCCAAATATATAAAAGTTAGTTGAAGCTTCATTTATTTTAGCCAAATAAAAAGAAGATTTAACAAAGTAATAAAGTACAAATGTTGTATTTTCTACAAAAGAGAAAAAATTAAAGTGTATTTTTACTTTTATTTTCATACAATGACTATTTAATTAAATTATGCAATTTTCTTTTTTGGTCAAATTTGCTAATATTTAGTCGGAATTTTACTATTTTCAGCTAAAATATTTATTTAGCCAATATATGGAGTTCCAACAATATTTTTTTATTAGATGCAATGATAATATATTCTAACTGTGTATTCTTTCTTTTTCTAATCAAATATATAAACATAACTTTGATTAAAATATTATTAGTTTTAGCCAAATAAAAAATTATAGTCAAAATAAATTTGTTTCAAATTTTTTTATACAGATTTTGGCAGGGAAAAAATAATTTAAATAGTTGGCCGGCGGACTAAAAAAGATGAAACCATATTAATTTAAATAGTTGGCAGGTGGACTAGCAAAGATTCTTTATGTTAAGAATATGAAAATTTACGGGCCAAAAGAATAAAATAAAGTACTCTCTTACAAGAATGAGAAAGGGTTTCCTATTTCTTGCATAACGCGTCTAATACTAGTATACAACAATAACAATAATCCAATATAATCCTATTTAGTGGAGTCTGGGGAGGATAGTGTGTACGCAGACCTTACCCCTACCTGGGGTAGAGAGGCTGTTTCCAAATAGACCCCCGGCATCCTTCCCTCCGAGAACTTCCCACCTTACTCTTGAGAAAACTCAAACTCACAACCTCTTGGTTGGAAGTGGAGGTGTCTAATACTAGTATAACTTTTCAAAATCATTGAAGACAAACCTACCAATACCACGATTTTAATTTATTTTAATTTAAAGTTATTGTTTACACTTTTAATAAGATAGACAACTCCACAAATCATTCACCAACCGGGGATAAATTTGAGGGGAAAAACAGTCTTTCCTTTTTTTTTTTTTTTTTTTTTGTTAAAGCTGTTTTGTATCTTCTCTCGAATTTTAATCTTGTCTCTTTCTTTCTCATTTGTTTTTTTTTTAAGATTAAGACGTATGAATCTGAATACACATCTGAATATCGAAATATGTATTAAGATTAAGACATCTGAATCTGAATACACATTTGAATATATTAAGATGTGTATTAAGATATGAATATTAAATAATTAAGACTGTTTGATTTTTAACATCTGAAGTATATAATTTATCTTTATTTGAAAATTAATAAACATAAAAAGTTCAAATGAAATACTAACTAATCTAATATTCTATCAATAAAATATATAACTTTTTAAAATATGGTGGTGATGGCTAACAGGTGAATGCCGACTAGAGGCAGTAGTTGGTGGTCGTTTTGGTTGATGATGGTAGTTCATGCTAGTAGTTAGTAGTGACTGATAGTGGTGGCGATTATGATTGATGATGGTAGTAGTGGGTGGTGATATTTAATAATGGCAGTAGTGGTAGTAGTTGTGATTAAGGAAGGTGGTGGGTGGGTGGTGGTAGGTTATAATGATGGACAGTGCCAATTGTAGTTGTTGGTGGTGGCGTGGTGGTGGTGGTGGTTGAGTATGGTGGTGGTTGTGGCATGGTGGTAGTTGATAATGGTAGGTGGTGATAGCAGTTAATAATGAATACGTGATAGCATGCATCTTAATGAAATTAAGTCTCTGTTATAGATCTTAATCATACTGACCTATTAAGACCTATTAAGTGGTTGTGAAGTAAAAAAACAAACACACTTAATAATTAAGATTTGAATAATTAAAATTTAGACTTTAAAAAAAACGCACTTAATATCTGAGATCTGAATGATTAAGATTCAGACCTTCGTTAAGCGCAAACAAATGAGGCCGTTGGTCTCATGTGATGAACTGCCTATGCCTAATAAACGAAACATGGGGAATTTACGTGAAGCCATCTACTCAGAAGCCCTTCCCTTACCTACTTTGCCCCAAACCCCCCAACCGCAACACACACACAAGAGAGAATTCAATAGTAAGTTTCTAGTCGTGCGTAACGAATTTTTACCCTATCAGTATCTTTAAACTTGTTGTTAAAAGATAATCAGTCTATTCTTTCAGGATGTTAATCCTAAAATTGTGTACAACTACTCGTAATTATCTTTTTGATTACTTGTTGGGAACAATAGTATTTTTAGATAATCTGGTTGTCAATGCATAAAAGTTAAACTCTCACCTAATGAGCTCTTTCTGTAGAGCTGCACCTTGCTTGGTCCTCCTATGTGATGTTGCACCAAAACCAGTAGTAACACCATAACTATCAGTCCCTTTATTCATGCCTTCCATGACCCAATCACTGCTTGCCTTAACACCGGCCCGTGCTCCCTCTGACAGCTCCACTTTGACCTCAGTGCCTGAACGGCCGGCTATGGCGGCAACCTGTGCTACCGTTAGCGTCTCGCCGCCTAGCCGGACAGCCGGCTTCCTAAACTCCTCCACCATTTTCTTCACCTCATCAAGGTGGCTACCACTGAGTGCTGCAGCTGCCATGTTCCAATTCAAAGGGTCTTCTTGTTGATGACCCTTAATGCAAAATTCTTGACTAGAATGCCCATTACAATCTCCATTTGCATACTCCATTGCTAAACTAAATATGTATTGCCAAATGAAAATGGAAAATATGAAAGAAAAAGATCAAGAACTCAAAATGTGGTTAGCTATGAGAAACGAAGTATATGTGATGTTTTGATGGAATATAATCTTGTGCAATTAAAAGATACACGTAAGATTTATGTACGTGCAAATAAATGTGTGTTGCGATCTTCGCCCTCTCTCTCTCTCTCTTGGTTGGTGGAGTTAGGAAATTTGAAAGCTTATGGGATTAGCTTAAGCTGAATTTCCTGAGTTTGTTGAGCCTAAATGTGAGAGTTTAAATAGAAATGGAATCATATTGTCATGCTTGAGGGTTGGTTGGGCAGGCCAATGTGTTAGTTGAAAAGCTAGATTGACCGTTGGATTGCACATGGAGATGGACGGCTGCCAAGAAAAGTAAGAGCAAGCAAGCGGGCTTCCTCTCAACAACCACCCTTCAACCCTCACATTCCCCGGGCCCGTATTTTTTACAAATACTGTTTTTCTTTTACACGTCCTTTCAGATATATTAAATAAGATTATCATACCCTTATTTATCATACCCTTATTTATGTATTAAGATATAATTTTTTTTCATTGGATATTTATTCTATTTATGTGTTATCTCCATCTTTAAGAACAATTATTATTAAGGGTAAAAAAAGAAAAAAATAATTAATTTTGTCTTGAACTTCTAAAATGACAATAATTTGAGACAACTATTTTTAGTAACCACGATTGTTAATATAAGACGGATAGAGTAATAAATTAAGATAACANAAGAATAATAATCTTTTAATGTTGTGAATATATTAATATAATTTTTTTTAAACACTTGGTGATGAGCTTTTATATTTACACAAATATTTTGATATGTTTAAAATCACAAGTTTTAAAAGTTTTATAACCATATTAATGTTATGTCATGTTTAAAACCATAAATTTTAAAAGCTAATTTCTTTTTAAAACTTATAACATATCAAAATTATGTAATGCGAATTGGAATGTAAAGAGTATAATTTTTGTACTCTGTAGTAATAATATATGTAAAATTTCATGTTGCGTATTTATTATATTGGTGTAAACTGCAGTGGGTGAGTTTTTCTCGTAAATTACCTCATGGTTTAAGCCATAATAGATAGTTATGTGAGTCGTCAAATAGATAAGAGGAAATAATGAATTGGGTGTGGTTGGTGAGAAAGAGTCGCACAACGACAGCACCGCGTCATTTGAAGTGGGAGATATGAATTGACCAATTTGCCTCTAATAAAAAAATCATTAACATCAGTTTTCTAATGAGCATTTTTTAGCTTAATAACTTAACCTAAAACTTTCCCTTCACCTGCATGAGCTACCATTTCAAAGAAAGAACACGACTAAAAAATTGCTTAAATACGTTCGATCGAAATCGGTCGAAAATTATAAAATTTCTGACCGCTTTTAATTAATCGGAAAAATGATGGTCGCTAACGTGTTACAACTGAAATCGATCGAAAATTTCCGACCGAAATCGGCCGATTTATTCAAAGCGTTGACTGACTATCAAACTTCATTTACCAATCGAAATCGGTCGGTATTAATAAAAAATTTTTATTTAATTTTCAAATACCGACCGAAATCGGTTGGAATTTTAAATAAATAATAATTTTATTTAAATATATAATTATTTATAAATTGTAATAAATTATTAATTTATTTAAATAAAAAAATTTAAATTCATAATTTTCGATCGAATTCGGGCAGATATTTCAAAAATCTGGAGATTTCATTTAAAATTTCTGACCGAATTCGGTCGGAAATTTTGAATTTCTGGGCAAAAAAAATAAATAGTTTCGACCAATTTCGATCGATTTTCTGGGTAAAAACTGGGCAGAAAATGCCTGCTTTTAAGCTACACCACCTGCCAATTACAACCAATATCCATCCTATAATGACAACATTACATTGCTGCCATTTAACCATAATTAATCAACAACAATAACAATTAACTAACTAATAACAACAACAATAATTATTTAACAACAACGCTAATAACAATTAACCAACAACGCTAATAACAACCACAACAACAACGCTAATAACAACAACAATAATTATTTAACAACAACGCTAATAACAACCACAACAACAACGCTAATAACAACAACAACGCCAACCACCACAATAACTATACAAATGTTCAATAACAAAATAATATCAACAATACAATCATCATTCAAAACTAATCCCAACTAAATATTGACAAGTTCAATACTTTGTTTAGCAATACACATCATTCAATGAGTGTTTATATTGCATCATCTGTATCTTTACTACTAGAACCTTCATCGTCGGCATGGTTCGAAGGATCACGACGAGAAGAATTAGCACATGGGGAAGGCTCACAAGACCGGGGAATGGGGAAAGCACCACTAGCAAGAAGATTGGCCAGCTGACCTTGAAGGAGATTAACTTGTTCGTCCCTCTTTTCTAGCTGAACTTGAAGGGTACCAAATTGTTCATCTCTTTTTTGTTTTCTAGCCTTTGTCTCTTCTGAAAGTACATGGGGGGG